CAGCAGGATCCGTCATTGTATACAGACCGAGTAGTGTACCTCTTTATCTAGGGCTTCCAGTCAAAGAAGTTTAAATATGAAACGACAATGCCCTGCTCAGTTTCAAACCACAGCTCCACCGCGTAAGGAGGCTCTCTCATCCAAGGGCTGTTCACATTGTCTTTGTATTTCACAGTGGAACTCTGCCAGCTTCCCAACAAGAGAAACCTCTTTGCTTCGCAGAGATGGTGGGAAGATTTTCTCTGAGGAGCAGCCATGGCTATCGCAGACAAGTAAATAAATCCAAGGTGCTGGGTAGCCCTGGGGGATCACTGGTCATCAGTCCCTAACAGAGGCTAAGATATGAAAGCAAAGGATTGTGCCTTGGCTGAAGCATAGCTTTCTTCTATATTTGTTGATTTTGTACTATGTGGGGAAAGAATTAGTAACTAATTTTTGTGTTATTTGAAGACTGGTTTAGGTTAGGCTGGTAGGTGTTGTTCTGTGTCTTTGTGCTGTCAGCAAAGTTGACTGCTCTTGGTTTGAAACCTTTTTCTGGAACGTATAAGACTTTGGAGCAGCTGTTTGAACAAAATGGGATCTTCATCTGGGAAGAGCTGTTCTATTAGATTAGCAGCTGTAAATGACACACCACAGTGAATGGAAGTAGATTTATTTTGTGCTGGCTTTCTTCCCTTTCTGCCCCACCCCCCCATCTTTTCCAGTACCCAAGAAGCCCTTCAGTAGCAAAAGTACTCCTGGTTCTTAACTTGCTTGAGGGAGATCAAATGCATTCACATTTTGCTCAGATCAACAATAAGGATTATGGCTACAACATCGGAGTCCTGCCTCGCCAGTTATACCCTCCTGCATATCTCCCATTGCTTGAGTTCTGTACCTTGACTTACAATACAGGCTCCCTTTATAGGCAAGAAGTGCTGCTGCTGAGTGCTCTCCTGCATTAATGAATTGAAATATTAAAATGGATGTGATCAAATGCAATTTGAGTTGCCTCAAGCTTTATCATGAGATACTTTTGTGGAACAGTACCTGTATTTATCACCTTTAGATTTGCATATACAGAGCTCGAGTAATGTTTGGCTAATGTTTGGGGTTTTTTTTACAATTAGCATTTTTTAATGTTGCTTATGGAGGTAGTGGCAGTAGGGATTTTATACCACCTGTCCCTGTGATCTTAAAAATATTACATAAAGAACTAAATTAGATCAAAACAGGTGGATTTAAAATAGTGTAGAACAAAACAATGTATTTAAATTACTTGTAATATAAAAAAATTCACTATGGCAATTTGGCAAGATAGGACCAAAAGGGGGGAAAAAAGGAGTCAAAAAAGTATTTTTGCATGGTTCTTTCTCAAGTTATCACACCCTCATAAGTGGTCCATGCAATACCCTGTCTTGCTAGAGTTTTCAGTTTTAAGTTTCTTGGCAAGGACAATGATATATGTTAAAAACAGATAAAGATTCATAGTTCCCCAATTTCTGAGCAATAGAAGTATTCCACTGCTAGGCTGGACAAACAAATATTTGTGACAAATTTAAATTTATGAAGAAAAATGGGAAAATAATTTAGTTGTATTCCTCCAATGAGTACTTTTAATTATGATGTGTACCCCTGCATACCCTCCTTTCTAAAGAACCATAAAGTTTTTAAAAATCCTTTTTAAAAGCACTCTTTTCATACTGTTAAAAATTTAAATGCTGGAATATTCTGCCCCTTATATTTATGGGGTGTATAAATTGAAGGGATGGTTATTAAATGTCGTCACAAGCCTCTTATTGGAAAAAAAGTTAATGGAATTGTAGCATTGTACAAGTGCCTGAACCTGCTGCCTGTGGTATGCTGTGCGGGAGAATAAATGGCTTTCAGTCATGTAAACTAGTCACAGACATTCAGATCCTTTGAATTCTAATAAGAAATGCACACTTACTTTAAATAGTAAGTGACGAAGCATATAAATGTCTTGATCAAGTCATCAGAAAAAAAATGAAAAAGAATTTCCTGTTTACGTTTTGTTATTTCTGTCTGAAATCTCTATTTTACCCTCTACGTCTTTGCTTCATAATGTTCCCTGCTGAGAAGGACAGACTGGAAACACAGTAGGGATCTTTGCCTTCTAAGTTACTCTTTGCTTTGCAGAAGGCTGCGTGCTGGAAGACCCGGTGTATTTGTCCAGTGTTTTGCTCGGTATGAGAGGAACAAGACTATTTAAGAAAGGCAGGAAACTATTATTTGGTAATTTTAACTACATTTCAATTGCAAGTACTGAAAGAGCAGACAGAAGTTTAAATATATGTCTTAAGGTACGCACATACAAATCAGTTCAGCTTTTGTGCTCTTTGTCTTTGGTCAGGAAATTCTGAAACAATCTTGAATGAATGTGTAAAAGGATAATTCTGAGTTAAATTTGCCACAACTGTTAATTCACGGGTCATGTTTATCCAAAGTGTTTCTCCAAAATTCTTTCTGTCTTCTCTTCTAAATAACATATAACAGCTACTGTGGTAGAATCAAACTATAGCATGTTTTAAAAGCAGGGCTAGATTTTCTTCTAATGCAAACTCGTGCCCCTTTCTCAAAGTCAAAGGATACATGCTTTGCATGCTAATTTTCTCTGCCAGGTAATTTAGCTTCCATCCACTAGTGTTTTTTTTTTTCAGCATGACAAACTCTAAGTGTTATGGCGATTTCTGTCATTTAGGCATATTTTTCTTGAGAAAGTTAGTATATTGATAGAGAGTAACAGAGGGCCAGAATTTCCTATCATTTTATGCTGGTATGACCCACTGTTGATTTGCCTAATTCATCAACTTTGATCTACTGTTATCTTGAGTATTACCACCATTTTTTTTTCTCTCAGTTGCATAAAATTCATCAGATTAATAAGAGTCATGTCGCTGTAGCTACACTGTGAGTCCAGTCCAAAGGCTATTAAAGTCAAAGACGCTCCTCATTGACTTCAGTGAGATTTAGATAAAGCTCATTGTTTTTATGGTCTTTCCATCAGTGCAGTACCAGACAATCGAAATAACTGTTCCAAATATCAGTGTCTTTGGATACTTTGCATTTCTGTTCTGAGAAAATATCCAAGCAAATATGAATATAACCAAAGTAAATTATCTCTCTCTGAATTCAGAATGACTATTTAACTAGCTTTAATATTTTGATACCGAATACTAAGTTACACCCGCTGTCCCTTTTCTTTGCATACAGGTGATGGCTTAAGAAGGTTAGACTGTGTTAGGGTTGGAAAAAAAAGAATAAAATAATGTGGTTAAAAAAGCCTCTGCTTTATTAGAAAGTTCTGGAGGACTTTTGTGTTCTGTTTTTCATATTGACACTGTTTGTAAGTTTGCCCATAACCTCAGTGCTGAAACGGAGTCTTAATCTGTTTCCAGTTTTAGTGATCTCCACTTCCTTCTTCCTCGTTCCCTACAGCAATCATAGTTTATCCATTTTTAAGCTGGATGTCTAGGTTGCAGTTCTCTGCTTGTAAGAGTCATTATAGATGTGTTTTATGGGTGTTTCTGCTTTGGGAACTGTGGAATAGCTGATAAAAGTATTTCTAAGCATCAGTTTTGGAATACAGCACATTTTTTACTTCCATTGGTTCACAGCAGGCAAACCAAAGTATGAAATGATTTTATATACATATTTCCAACTATCTACCTTTTAACTTTCCCTTGAAAGTTTTAGTAAATTCATTTCAGCCTAATTGTCTCTCTCTGTGAAACTGGAAAAACCAATTGTGCAGCTTACGCTGTCTGCCCTCCTCCTCTTTTTGCTTGTTCCTACCAGTGTCATCTGTCCAACTAGTGTTCACGCCTCATTCTTTCCTTGGGATGAGGGTTCACCAGTGGGTTACAGCTTCTCTGGGTTTCTCAGATCAGGGAAGAGTAGCCTTTGCTCCATTAATTCCAAACCAACTATTTCAGATACCAAAAACACTTCAGCGGCCTTAGAGCAGAGCTTCTCCAGACTGTTTTCCCCTTGTTTAGGCCTATTGCAGGCATCCAGCTGTTTCACGCCTTTATTGTACTCTCCTTTGGTGAAAAACAGATGCTTGTTATATTTCTGTGGTCCTTTGTGTTAAAATATTGTGCTGCCAACTGCTGAGGTATTTGTAGTGTATGCTTGAATTCATAAAAATGCCACAAAATCATTAACAGCATCAACTGAAGAAAAATAAATTGTGATTTCTTTTGGCTTGTGCCAACATAACACAATGGATAGTTTAGACCTTTACAGGAATGGGTACCTCATGTGTCAGAGACAGGAAAAAGATCAGAATGGTCCATGCAAATCTAAACCTTAATTTGTTTTGTTCTGCTTTAGCTTGTGGCCGTGGGTTCTACAAATCCTCCTCACAAGATCTGCAGTGCTCCCGCTGCCCTACTCACAGCTTCTCTGACAAGGAAGGATCTTCAAGATGCGATTGTGAAGATAGCTATTATAGAGCACCTTCTGATCCACCATATGTCGCATGCACAAGTGAGTCAGTCATGAATTTAATTGTAAAAGACTTTGCTTAACCAACCAGATGCAGCCACTTGTAGCTAGTAGTTTTGGTTGGCTTTGCCTGTATTTGAAAAGTACATTCATAACAGTAAATGAAATTGAAAGGCAGAGGGGAAAAAAGTTGACAGTGAATATAGAATCAGCATAAATATAATTTTCATGTTTGCTTGATATAACATTGGAAAACGTTGCATGTTGGGTGTGTAACTCACTGTAATAGATAGAATACAGGCATAGTTTTCCCATGGCTGTAAAATTGTTGTAGACAATGTGCTTTATGTGATATAATACCAAAATGAGTAACATGAAAAATGAAAAGTAACCTGTGCAGATCTGAGCTTTGATTTAACTGTAATTGGATCTGGCTTAACCTTCTAACTAACGTACACAGATTGGTGGCTCAAATAGTGGAAGTCTCCTAAATCCAAAGCAGCAACAAATATCTCTGTAAATCGTATCAGAGCTGATAACAAAGGACCAGATGCAGTTGGTGCAATATGTTTAGAAGAGAAGAACAAATCCCATACTTGGGAAAACTATAAAAGACAACCTTTAAGGTACATTAACCAATCCTTTTAATTGCTCAGAAGAGAAATGGCTAAAGTCAGTTGCAGTAAATATACAGACAATTGTTATTCTGATGCCTTAATGGAAAATAAATAAAGCTCCTGCCAAGTGAGTTCAAGGAAGCTTTTATGCAGCTTGTAGTAAAAATAATTAAATGTTTATGTGAAGAAAAATGCTTCAACTGTTTTCTGTCTCAGTAATTAAAACGCTAGCTACATGTCCCACCGTGGTTCTGCGCAATTACCCTGGACTTTTTTGTGTGTTACATAGGACCTCCATCTGCACCACAGAACCTCATTTTCAATATCAACCAGACTACCGTGAGTTTGGAGTGGAGTCCTCCTGCTGACAACGGGGGAAGAAATGATGTGACCTACCGCATTTTGTGCAAGAGATGCAGCTGGGAGCAGGGTGAATGTGTTCCCTGTGGGAGTAACATTGGATATATGCCCCAGCAAACTGGATTAGTAGATAACTATGTCACTGTCATGGACCTGCTAGCTCATGCTAACTACACGTTTGAAGTTGAAGCTGTGAATGGGGTTTCTGACTTGAGTCGTTCCCAGAGGCTTTTTGCAGCTGTCAGTATTACCACTGGTCAAGCAGGTAAGTTTTCATCACTTATGAATCTCAACACTGTGAGACTGAGAGAAATTGGGAACATGCAAACTACAGATGCAGTAAATCAAGAGCATGTTTGGTGTGTTCTGGCTCATTAATCTTTTCACCATGCCAACTAGTTAATTTGAGCTTATACTATTTCATGATAACCTGTCCTGTTTCTTGGCCTCAGGATTGCTTTCAGAAAGCATTCATGAAGGACTTAAAGAAGACATACTGCTTTATTATTAAATAGATTTTCTTAACTCTGCAACTTTTTTTTTCTTATTACGTCATTATAGGTTGTTCCTTAGTATTTGAAGAAAAAAAAAGTAGATGTGACAGTCCTGTGCAGGCTTCCTTTCTGAATCTTTTAAACCCGTATGGGAGTCCTAGGTCACTGGAAGATGATCTGGATATCTGATGGTGTTTTCAGTGTTCATGTTTTCCCTCAGGATAATGTTTCTAATTTATCTTATATTTCCAGATATTTGATTATGAGATTCAGTGAGAAAGTGATGATTATTCTTTGTTTCTTCTGCTTATCATAATCTGACAGGTGAAATGTCAGGAAAAATAAAATCAAACCAGCATATCACCCCAGGGGAAAAAAGGGCTTTAGTAGTCTGCATGCTGAGTGAAAAAAAAGAATTCTCTGATTTAAGTTTCTGAAATGACGAGTTACTTGTTGATAAAAATTATAGGCCTCTGAATCTACAATAGTGCACTGTGGGCATTAAGAGGGGATAGTAAAACTAACCTTTTATACACTGAACAAAAGATCTTAAACTGAACATTAATTGCAAGATCTGGCTTCTGAAAAAATGCCTTAAAAGAAAATATGAAGTGAATAACTGATGCTTACTGTAAGAACAGCTAATCAATGTTTTAAAGGATACTTCATGCTTACGTCTTGGAGGAAATTTTAATGACTGTGATCAAGCTATTGTTTTTTAGTGCAGTAGAAATGATCCTCTACAATAATGCTTTGAACTGAGGACAAACTCATCGTACAGGGGCAATGAACAAATAGGAAAAACAGTAGTTATTTTGCACTTTAAAGATGGTCATCTCAAAAAAAAAACAACCAAAAAGACAAGAAGTTTACTTCAAAACCTTCCTTCCCTCCCCCCAAACCTGTGACAGTTTATATAGTTGTTAAAATTAGGCGGGAATATTTATGTGATATTTAATTTCCCCGTAGTGCTTTTCTGGATACCAAATGCACATTTTATATTATTTTGGAACAATCCCTGTGACTGAAAGGATTGGTGTCTGTGCTCATTCAGTTCTTGGAGTTTATGATGAGATTTTGAGCATAGAGAAACTACCCTGAAACTATTTTGGCACCACAGATTGTATTATTTTGGCACCTTGATTTTTCATCTTTAAAATAATTCTCTATAATTCTTCAGACATCACAGGTGGACAGTGTTCTGCTCTCTGTAGACGTCTGTACAAAATACCACATGAAGAAGAGGATTTGGACTTTTTCCTATTTAGCTAAATCAAATTTGCTTTCCTTTATGTGCTTTGATGGCTCAGTGGCACATAGGGTAAAGGAAGAGACGGTGCCATTTCGTGGCTAGTATCACATGTCAGGAAGACAAAAAAGCCGTAATCAGAAGTTTGTTGTGTTACTCCCAAGATAATTCATTATAGTTAATTATTTTGTGTTCTCATAGTCATAGATTTATAGGGTTTTTCAGGCCAGAAGACATAATGTGGTTTTCCTGTGTTATAAGTAACACAAGCTATATGATTTTATGAAATGATTCTCACATCAAGCCCAGAGGTGTTAGTGAAACTATATCTTGCATATATATTAGAGACAAAATCTAGACTTTACCTAGTGATTTCAAATAATGGAAAAACCTTCACCCTCCTAGATAAGTTTTGTAAGAGCATGCAGCAGGAAGCAGGAGATCTGACTCTGTTCCTTCCCTGCTCTCCAAGTTTGCTGTGGGATTATGCACAGGCGAGCATTTCCCAGTGCTACAGAATCTGACACTGTCACTGTTGAAAGAAAGGATACTCGTACAACTGAAGCTTTGTCTGTTTAACACTTCTGAATATCAGGATTTAAAGGCTTCTAGTTGGGCATCTAAAAGGAATACACATAGGAAACAGATTTTGGGGAAAAAAAAAAAAAAAGGCTTTAAGCTCTCTTTGTTACAGTTTTCTCTGTCCGTAAAATTAAGGTAACCCTTACCTTTCCTTACCAAGCTTTTCAAGATTTTCTGATTAAAAGTGCCATATAAATGCAGCATTTTTTTTCATCCAAATTACAAAATTCATGTTAAAGAAAATACAGCCTTTCACAACAAATGGATTCACCAAAAAGGAAAGACCTCTTTTGCATTATTTTTGCAACAGCATGTTTTGGATCCTAATACTGATTTCTTTGGTTTCTCAAGGATGAAAATATTTTAGGTGGAACAGATTGATGACTATAATTGAGCAGAAAGAGACTGGTTGCTCAAAGGAGACTGTTATGCTTCTGTGCTCCTATTTTATTTTACCATGGAGAGAAAGAAAATGTTGGATTTATTTATAGCCAAGTAAACTAGGATTCATGCAGCTCTCATTTGTTACTGTGTGCCTGTTCTACACTTTTGGCAAAAATGACTTTTTCTATGCCCATATTGCTTTTTATGTGTGTAAATGTATCTAACTGAACCTTCTTCACATGTTGTTATGCTAGCATAATAGGTGTCTATATATAATTACTGGGTTCACCAGTTGTACAGAGGCTTGCAGTGACATTTTCCCTTTCTATTTTTGGTTTAATTGAATTGATCCTTTGTGTCCACGTTCACAAAATTCAAATCATTGTGTAATGATAACAGGAAATTATTGATAAAAGAATGGGGTTATGGAATATATTCAGTGTTTCGTCACCCACATATAACAAGCTTCTGATGAGACAAAGAGAGCATGTCACAGAAAAGAACCAGGTGGTTGATAAAAAACTATTTATATTTGTGGAAATAACACAATAAAATGACTGCAAGTGGGTAGGTAGCATTTCACATTGCTCACATATATACATATGACACATTGCTATTCATTCCTTGTGTTAAAAAGACTTTGTGACTAGGCTATCAGTTGTCATATGGCATACTTTTATGCTGCAGCCAAGAACCATGAGGCTTTTTGTTTTGCTTTGTTTTGTTTTTTGACAAAAGCATGAAAGAACTGAGCTGGAATCAGAGGTAAAAGATTAAGTGCACTAAGTCCCCCAGGAGTAAACCATCTTGTTTCATATCTTGCCTATGCAGCATCATATAAAGAATACAGGATGTCATCCCAGTATTGCAAGCTGATCTATGTGAACCCCTGCATCCTTGTAGAATTCAGATTTAAATGTGACTAAGCCCCAGTTACAATAGGTGAATGTACTGAAGAGCTGCAGCTGGCAAACAACTAACAAACACTACCTTTGCAAGCTTATTGAATGATTGTTTACCAAAGATAAAATTTACCACTTCCTGTCATGGTTTAGCCCCAGCCGGCAACTAAGCACCACACAGCCGCTCACTCGCTCCCCCCCGTTGGGATGGGGGAGAGAATCAGAAGGGTAAAAGTGAGAAAACCCGTGGGTTGAGATAAAATCTGTTTAATAAGTAAAGCAAAAGCCACGCAGACAAGCAAAGCAAAACAAGGAATTCATTCACAACTTCCCATCGGCAGGCAGGTGTTCAGCTGTCCCCAGGAAAGCAGGGCTCCATCACACATAACAGTTACTTAGGAAGACAAATGCCATCACTCCAAACATCTCCCCTTCCTTCTTCTTCCTCCAGCTTTATATATGCTGAGCATGATGTCATAGTATGGAATATCCCTTTGGTCAGTTGGGGTCAGCTGTCCCAGCTGTGTCTCCTCCCATCCTCTTGTGCACCCCCAGCCTACTTGCTGGTGGGATGGTGTGAGAAGCGGAAAAGGCCTTGACTCTGTGTAAGCACTGCTCAGCAATAACTTAATCCCTGTGTTATCAGTGCTGTTTTCAGCATTGCCAAATCCAAAGCATAGCCTCATACTAGCTATCTTCATGAAGAAAATTAACTCTATCCCAGCCAAAACCAGCACACTTCCCTAATAAGATCACAGAGTCCTGAGAGAATTGGCTGATGTAGTTGCCGAGCCACTCTCCCTGGCATTAGAAATGACCAGCCTAGTGGCCTTCTGTCATGGAGTGGCTACATCAGTGGACAAGGGAAGATCTATGGATGTCATCTATCTGGACTTCTGTAAGGCCTTTGGCACAATCCCCAACAATATCCTTCTCTCTAAATTGGAAAGATATGGATTTGATGGGTGGTTCAGTGGATAGCAAACTGGCTGGATGATCGCATCCAGAGGGTAGTGGTCAATGGCTCGATGTCCAGATGGAGATCAGTGACAAGTGGTGTCCCTCGGGTGTCCGTACTGGAGCCAGTGCTGTTTAATATCATTCATCAATGACATAGACAGCGGGATCGAGTGCACCCTCAGCAAGTTTGCAGATGACACCAAGCTGAGCAGTGCAGTTGACACACCTGAGGGATGGGATGCCATCCAGAGGGACCCGGATAAACTTGAGAAGTGGGCCTGTGTGAACCTCAAGAGGTTCAACAAGGACAAGTGCAAGGTCCTGCACCTGGGTCAGGGCAACCCCTGGTATCAGTACAGGCTGGGGGATGAAGGGATTGAGAGCAGCGCTGAGGAGAAGGACTTGGGGGTACTGGTAGGTGAAAAGCTGGACATGAACCAACAATGTGCTCTCACAGCCCAGAAAGCCAGCTGTATCCTGGGCTGCGTCAAAAGAAGCGTGGCCAGCAGGTTAAGGGAGGTGATTCTGCCCCTCTACTCTGCTCTGGTGAGACCCCACCTGGAGTACTGCATCCAGCTCTGGAGTCCTCAGGACAGGAAGGACATGGACCTGTTGGAGTGGGTCCAGAGGAGGGCCACAAAAATGATCAGAGGGATGGAATACTTCTGCTATGAGGAAAGGCTGAAAGAGCTGG